CCAGCAGGGGCTTCTCTAATTGTGCCAGTATCTGCTGAAGAAAAGTTTCTGGTACAAGAATTCTTGGGTAATTTATGTCCACCATGGGAGGTTTAGAGACTCCTGGATGAATAACAGGAGGCTTCTACAGCCTCTGTGATAAAGGAGTGTGGGGAGGGGGACATTAATGGAGTGCTATTTCAAAAAATTCTAGATCCTTTTGTTCCCCAATTCAATGTAAGTCAATTTTGAGTGTTGTGTGAATAAGCAAGCAGATCTGATAAATATGGGATGTTTGTGGTTGCTGTGGCTGACAGAACATGCCCGTAACATGGTTTCTACCACTTCTGTCTCCCTCTCAGCTCACAGCCCCCTCCTGCTGCCTCAGAGAAATTTTGCAGAGTGGGACATGCATGGATTTCTAAAGATGTTTCCAAGTAAGCAGGCACAGAGTAGGCTTGAGGTGGGAAATGAACAGCTGGAAATGGTCTATGGTTGGCAATGAGAAGAAATGATGCTGACGCACATGAATGAGAATGTCCCCAGGCAGATCCCGCTTGGGATACACTTTTATGTTTTAAAACCACAGTATATCCAAGGAACCTGACAAACTCATAGACAGATTTGGGGAGCTTCTCACCAAGCTCATAGTATGTGTATGAGATGATGGCAGGTTCAACTCTAGAGCATGACTTGTTTAACTAAGACAGGGTTGCAATAAAGGACTGTGGAGGACTGAGTCCTTCTTCCTCAGTCCTCCAATTCTTCCTAAGAAGGATCCCTCACTGGTGGAAAGAAGAGTTGAACACATAAAAATCAAGGTTCAGGAGAGCTTAACATTCTCCTAGCGTATGAAAACAATTGTGTTATGTGTTTTCTAATTATTACTCACAGGCACATATATAACATATATAAATATATATAAAATATTTTTACTGTACTCGTGAGTTTTCACAAAAGTATAGAATTACCTCCATGAAGAGATGGAAACTATATCATCATATCAAAAGAACACTCTTGTGGTGCCCATGTGAACAAAACCTCCAATACATAAGTTAACACTAAAAAAATGGAAAAGATTGAACTTCCTTTGCTCTTTTAAACCTCCAAGTTGTTAATATTGTTTCCCACTTTTCCAGAACATGTGCTGGAAATCTAAGCATATGGAAGAGAGACGTGTGAACAGCAATATGGACGATGGGGCTTTGTGAATCACGGAAACAAAAGTCTTCCAGCCACTCTTGCCACTCATCTTTTCTTACAAGAAAAGATGTTGAAAACTTCCCATTTTGCTTTTTATACTCAATTAGGATATTACTCAAAATGATACCCTGTCCTCTGCAGCTCACTTCAATTATTCCTGGGATGACTGCCTCTAAACATTCATAGCTCTTTCTGGGGTTTCCACTGGGAGATTACAGTAAACTTGCATAGATATCACTCTATTCATGGAACACACTCAGGATGAGCTAGAACAGTGCAGATGAAGGTAACTGTTTCTCTAAACGGGAGGAACTCCATGGTTTAGTGGTATATGTTGCACACTCAGTCTGTAAAGCAGCAAAATGAAAAAACCAAACATTTTAAACATTTAAAGGTAAATGAAAATTCTCTCCTATAATATTAAACACAAAAAGACATCATAATTATCTGTGGCCTAAATCAATAGGAAGTCTCAAGTCCAGATAACGATAATAATGACATCCTCACTCACTCCTACCCTCAAAGAAAAGATATACACACACCTCAGCATTCCTATTAGCTCATATTGTTTTTTCACCTTTCTTCAAAGCCCTATTTCCAGCTTACAAACCAAAGCTTTACCATTTGCTAACCATCTTTTTTCCCACAAACATATAAGCACCATGATTGTAAGAACTGGTTTGTTTCATGTCACTATATTCAAATCCTATTATGCCTTATTTGTGTAAAATTGGGTATGTTGCCTCTATAGTGCATGGTATGTGAGAGATGCTGAAACATTAGCACCAAGAGCCTAGTCTCCGAGAAAGTCTTGATTGACATAGTGGTCCTGTCTCTCTCCCTTGCTAGGTTTGTATTATCTCATGATTTACCTAAACTCAAAGGCCTCAGGTGAATCATAAAGGAGATACGAAAAATATTACATAGTATACTAAGTAAATTTATATAACTTAACTAAGGTACTTTATGGTAAACAGTGTCTAACACACCTTAGGAAATATATCAGTGATTTGATAATAAGTAGGAAAGGCAAAATCCATTACAGAGGACTGGGAGCTGGCGTGTATTCACCGCAAGGCCAAGTCTTACCCTGCAGAAGAGAAAAATGTCACACATCATTCATCAAAGGTAAATGTTAACCATAATGGGCCAACACATTTATAAGGGAACTTTGTAACTCTATCTCTAAAAATGGAAAAAGATAAAATCCTAAATCATAAAAATGACCAATATTCCCCTCTTCTTACTAATATAACTGGAGCTTCTTAGAAATTAAGTTTAGCTCCATTAAATTGTTATTGCCTTCTAGAAAAAAATGATTATGATACCAATGATAGAATAAAGTTTACCTCCTCATAGCATTCAAAACAGAAAAATGTCTTGCTTCCTTGAATAGCAATCAAATCTTCTAACACAAGCCAAAATCCTTTAAGCACTCTGTTACTGTTATACCTCACAGTCCTTTATGGTCTGTGGTCATTCTTATTAGAACTCATTACACCCCTCTCTTTGACAACAGGAGTGATCCTGTGGGTCACTGGCAAAGGACACTGAGAAAACTATGATTTAAGTTTTTGGTATTGAGAATAAATGAGAATAGTTTCATGACAAAAATTATAACTGCACTAAAAGAATAAAAAATATAATTTTCCTGACGAAAAAATACCTGAACTTGTATGCACATGATAATACTAACTCATAATGTAAAATGATTAAAGAAAACTGTAAAGTTTATCTGAAAATCCACAATTATAAGATATTTTAATATATCCTGAGGAAATAAACAATAATATTTGTTAGCATATGAGGGCTTAGAAGACAGTTGATAAATTATCTCTATGAAACAACTATAGAAACGCTAGTTTCACAAAAAAATGCATGTACTTTTAAATACATACAATCAAACATAATTAAAAACATTTTGAAGAATCATTTTCATCTACAACTAACAGTTAACAGTCTTCCTGATAGGAGGAAGGTGCTTATTCTCTTTTTTTGTGTGAGGAAGATTGGCCATGAGCTAACATCTGTTGCCAATCTTCCTCTTTTTGCTTGAGGAAGGTTGTCCCTGAATTAACATCTGTGCCCATCTTCCTCTATTTTGTATATGGGATGCTGCCACAGCATGACTTGAGGAGCAGTGTGTAGGTCTGTGCCCGGGATCCAAACCCATGAACCCCAGGCCACTGAAGTGGAGTATGTGAACTTAACCACTATGCCACCAGGCCAGTACCATGGAAGGTGCATATTGTCACATGGAAGAAGCAGGTCAAGGTAGCCACTGCAGAATGCAGCAGAGAAACAAACTCCCATGTCATTTTTTTTAATGCACCACTGTGGATGACATGGTGAATCAGGAAAACATCCTGGCTAGCAGCATTAACAGCAGAAGGTGTTTCCCTATATACGCTAGACCTTAAATGGATATAATCTAGAAAAAATGGGAATCAAAGAATATTCCCAGTCATGCAAGTTTGAATTAGTTTCTTGGTGGACACAAAAGGCCTTACAGAAAAATCCAAACTCTGATGGACTTTTGAGGTGGAACTTGTGAAGATATCAGTGGAAACCTACACCTCAAATAAAATGGAAATCAAAGAGTTGGTGGTGGTTTTGAGGATACTCTTGACTGGAAGGGCAAAGAATCCAAGAAACTGGCTACATGGTGTCCTGGAAGCTCCTATGTATCTGCCTCTCTCTTTGTATGTTGGCTCCTAAATGTGACTGTTTTCTTCTCTTCTGCCTTCCAAATCTCATACAAGTGAGGCTACCGGTGAATTCTAGCTGGGAAGTATAAAGGGGACGGATTCTGGAAAATCTAGTTCCCAACATTTACTTACAGGAAGGATATCTCCAACTCTAGCTTTTTTTGTGCGTGTGAGGAAGATTAGCCCTGAGCTAACATCTGTTGCCAATCCTCCTCTTTTTGCTGAGGCAGATTGGCCCTGGGCTAACATCTGTGCCCATCTTCCTCTACTTTATATGGGACATCACCAAAGCATGGGTTGATAATTGATGGGTAGGTCTGCGCCCAGGATCTGAACTCGTGAACCCTGGGCCACCAAAGCAGAGCACGCAAATTTAACCAGTAGGCCACCGGGACGGCCCCCCAACTCTAGCTTTTTGTTCTATCATAGGCCTCTTTTATTAATCAAAGTCTATTCACCAAATACCAGTCAGAAGGACAATGGGCAAAGGCCTAAATTTGAAAATAATAATTCTCATGAAACTATACTCTTTGATAATCTTGCCATACATAAAATTTATTCCAAGTGTTTAATAGTATGAAAAATGGACAAGCAGCTTCTATACCCAACACCACAAAAAAGGAGCTTTTTCAGTTAAAAAAAAAAAAAAAAAGCACAGTGTATATAATTGAATTGGGATATCCTGGAACTGCCACAGAAGGCCACGAGGAAAATTCCAATAAATACCAAACTGTCATTTTTCAATGGCCCCTTAACACAGAAAAAAATAAAACATTATAAAAAAAAAAAACCTAATTGCACATGAGAAATACACGTCAATTCATGCTTGGATCTAAGAGGCTTCAAGAAGTAAAGAGAAAATATTAACAGATTTAAGGAAAACTATCTATTAATCTTACGTATTAGTGTAGCAAGATGCCTTATAGAATTATCTCACCTCATATTCACTTCTAAAAGTAATTAGTAGAAATCCACAGTCCAATAATGTACCTTAGGAAAGCGGCTTAGTAAACACAATATATTTACAATTTTGATAACAACTCTTTCATATTGAAAAGTTTTCTGGAACATTACAGATGTATTAATTCCTATCAAGCTTTCTCATGTTATTTATATTTCTTTTTGGTGGGAGTTTTCACATTTTAGGAAGTGGGCCAATTGAAGCCCTTCCCACACTGTTTACCTTCAAGAGGTTTTATCCAGTGAGTCCTTTCATGCCTTCGGAAAGAACTGGAATCACAGAAAGCTTTCCCACATTCCACACATTTATATGGTTTCTCTCCAGTGTGCACTCTCACGTGTCTTTGAAAGTTTGTGTGACAAATGAAGGTTTTCCCACATTCCTTACATTCATGAGTTTTCTCTCGAGTATGACTTCTTTCATGTTTTTGAAGAGAACCAGGACAAGTGAATGCTGTAGTACATGTTTCACATTCACATGGTTCCTCTCCGGTGTGACTTCTTTTACGTATTTGGAAGGAATTGTAATAACTGAAAGTTTTACTACACTGCTTACATTCATAGAGTTTCTCTCCTATGTGACTCCTTTCATGTCTTTGAAAATTGTGATGATATCTAAAGGCTTTTCCACATTGTTTACAGTGATAAGGTTTCTCTATACTGTGAGTTTTTTCATGTATTCTAAGTGAAGTTGCAACACTAAAGGCTTTCCCACATTCTTTACATTCATAGGGTTTCTCTCCTGTGTGAGTTCTTTTGTGTATTTGGAAGGAAGTGATATAACTAAAGGCTTTACCACACTGTTTACATTCATAGGGTTTCTCTCCAGTGTGAATCCTTTGGTGTATTTGAAATGCACTGGGAGAAATGAATGCTTTCTCACATTCCTTACATTTATAAGGTCCATCTCCAGTGTGAGAGATCATGTGTGCTCGAAGGCTTGAGAGAGCAGTAAAGGCTTTCCCACATTCCTTACATTTGTAAGGTTTCTCTCCAGTATGAGTTCTTTCATGTACTTGAAGGGAACTGGGAAAACTGAATGCCTTACTGCATTTTCTACATTCATAGGGTTTTTCTCCAGTGTGATTTTTTTCATGTTTTTGAAGAGAACTGGGACAACTGAATGCTTTACTGCATTTTTTGCATTCATACTGTTTCTCTCCATTATGATTTCTTTCATGTATTTGGAAGCCTAGATGAGAAATGAACGCTTTACCACATTGCTTACATTTGTAGGGTTTCTCTCCTGTGTGAGTCCTTTCATGTGTTTGTAAGGAAGTATAATATCTGTAGGCTTTCCCACATTCCTTACATTCATAGGGTTTCTTTCCAGTATGAGTTTTTTCATGTCTTTGAAGAGAACTGGGACAACTGAATGTTTTAGTACATTTTGCACATTCATAGGGTTTCTCTCCAGTGTGAGTTCTTTCATGTACTTGAAGTGAACTAGAACAATTGAAGCCTTTCTCACATTCTTTGCATTTATAAGGAGCATCTCCAGTGTGCATTCTCATGTGTCTTCGTAGGGTTTTGAGCCACATAAATGTTTTCCCACATTCCTTACACTTATAGTTTCTCTCTCCATTGTGATTTCTTTCATGTTTTTCTAAAACGTGGAAATAAACAAAGGCTTTCCCACATTCCTTACATTTATAAGGCTTCTGTCCATATTTTTGATATTCAGATGGTTTGTTTTCAGCGTGACATCTCATGTGCCTCTTAAGGGATGAATGATGCATGAAGACTTTTCCACATGCACTGCAGTCACGTGGTTTCACTCCAGGAGTTTTCTTGTTCAGATTGAGATTTGGAATATGGCTGAAGTTTTCTCCACATTGATTACCTTCTTTACTTTTAAACACTCTCTCTACCATATGACTTCTGTGAAAAAACAATCACATTATTAATGATTTTATATTTATTATACTATGATTTATAGAAATAGTGTAGGTTTTTTTGCCTTATCTGAATTGTTTGAAATTCAATATACTGAATGCACTGCAAGAGGACTTCACCTTGCTACTATTTAAACAGTGAAATTCACATGGGGTTATTAACACTGTTTCCAAGTAAACTCTTTTGCAAACACTAAACAACTCTGTCACATTTCAGAAAGGATTTTTTAGTGAAAATTTTCTAAGAATAACTAAATTTGAAGCAGGGATTATTTGTTTTGTTTTCTTCTTTAAAAACTTTATAACATACCAGGATTCTCACATGAGACACTGCTTTATATTGTGAGTGTGACTCACCTTTGTCTTCTCCCCTGGTTTATGTAATGATCTTCAATGTCATGATCTTTCCATTTCTTTCCTAAAACGCAGACCAAGAAAAATGATTCCAAAGTGTTAGAAATTATTAAAAAATTATTCAATTCTAGGTCCATGATGAGCTGTGACCATGCCTTGTTTATTTGTCAACATATCCCCTTTCTACATTCCAAATATTGGAGCAACATCGATGGGCAGGAAGCATTTGTTCTCTAATTAACTAAATGAAGAAACGTCCTCATCCTTACCAATGGAGGCCAGATTCCTGAAGGTTTCCGACATCACATCTCTGTAGAGTTTCTTCTGTGAAGGATCCAATAAAGCCCACTCCTCCAGGGTGAAGGTCACAGACACATCCTCAATGGCCACTGAGACCTGAAACATCCAAATATGTGTATAGTAAGGTGCATGAGACTGACTGTTCTAGACCTCCACACACCCTTTGCAGGAACGTTATGTATGATTCTGTCTCCTCAAAACATTCACTCTATGACTCGATCATCAGAAACTCACTCTGAGGAAGTGTGAGTTCCTCATCAATTTAACAGCATCATGAATACAGAGAAATTATTTACACACTTTTACTATGATCACATTACATCTTATTTCTCTCTAATGGCAGGGTCCAGAGCACGCTGGGAAATGCCAGAAATGCTATACAAATGAAACTAATATCATTTTAAGACTGATGATTCCTTGTGAGAAGAATTCTTTCATCTTCTTCCTTATTACTCACCAGTTACAGTACTCCATGAGGCAGAGGGTCAAATCTGCATGAGGTTTCAAATGGATAAAAACATAATGAAGAACTGAAAGCTATTTTGTCTCATCCCATCACCAAGCATGAGAGTCCAGGAGGCCTCTAAAAATCAAACTTTTTTTTTTTTAAAGATTTTATTTATTTATTTTTTCCCCCCAAAGCCCCAGTAGATAGTTGTGTGTCATAGCTGCACATCCTTCTAGTTGCTGTATGTGGGACGCGGCCTCAGCATGGCCGGAGAAGCAGCGCGTCGGTGCGAGCCCGGGATCCGAACTCGGGTCGCCAGCAGTGGAGAGCGCTCACTTAACCACTAAGCCACGGGGCCGGCCCTAAAAATCAAACTTTTAACAAAGCCAGCTGGCCACATTGTCCTAAAGTACTCCAGGCCATTACAAGTAATGAGATGCAGCTGGCAGAATGTAAATATTCTTCTGGGGGAAGCGTTGCTTTTAATTTGTGTAATATTTATCACAGACTCATTTCTTTCTTTCTTTCTCTGTCCAACTTGATGGAGCTCAAAAGTTACTTCAAACTTAGAGTTCAGACATGAGAAAGAAGGCATGACAATGTACAACATAAAATCTCTACACTCATGTGCCTCACAGCTGCTTCAAACCAATTTCAGAACACACAGTGAGATGATAATGTGCCAGCAGAGCTCTTTTTGGTCAAACCCAAACAGTATCCTGGGCCTTGTTGCCCCTGAGGGGCAGATTAAGAGCTGTAGATTTCAAGGCAGTTCACCGAAGTCCAAAATAGTTTGAAGGTGAATTTGCCCATGATTATAAAATATGTAACGGATTCAACAGTGCTTCCCTTCAAAAGAACATAAAATCTCCATTCTCCAATTTCAGGACAAAGTGTTGCACAAACAGCCACTGTAGATGATGCTCTGACTACTTCTTGTCTGGCATTTAGGAAACCTAGAAGCTATCCTTCTCAATGGCATAAGAGGAAAATAAACAAATGTGAAATGAACAACTCTTAGATCCATGAGAGCACTGAAGTCATAGGACAAATGAGTGTCTCCAAATTTGGGAAAGAGAAAAGAAAGATGGCATTTTGAAATAAGCCCCTAATATTCTGTTCTTAACAAGACCAGTACTCAAAAAAATCTATTTCACTGGAGTCTAATGCAAAGACCAAAAAAAAACAGAAGAGACAGAACCCAGTATCAATGAACCTGTTAGGACAACCTTTTTCAACAGAGGTTTAAAATACACATTATGGAAATACATAAAGGAAAACAGAGACAGAAAAAATAAATAATAACCACTGATTTCCTAAAATTAATCATAAATGGCAAAATTGTAGATCCATGAAGCTCAGAGAACACTAAATATGAAAACACCAAAAGTGCACACCTAAGTATATCATATTTACACTGGACAAAAATCAAAGACAAACAGAAATATATTGAAAGAAGCCAGAGGGGAAAACACACCTTAGGTATAGAAAAACAAAGATTCCAATTAAATCGGACTTCTTTCCAGAAACCCTGTAATCAAGAACGGAGTGGAGGGAAATATTTAATGTTTAGAAATTGAAAAAAAAAAAACACTCTCCTAGAATTCTGTGTCAAATTATACTGTTACCCCACAAAGGGCACAACCTGCTCACCATGAGACAAAAGCCAATCCCCAAGAGGCAAGATGGTGGAAAAGAAGGGGCAGTTTATTACAGCTTGCTAGCAAGAGGGAAGATGGCCAACTAACGTCTCAAAGAACCACCTTAAGGGGGCACAAAATCTTACAGCAGTTATATAGGCCGATGGGTTATAGGGGAGGAGGTTAGGAATGTTGACCTTCTGGTGTTAACAGACTGGGAGTTGCCACACTAGATCTTTCAGTTTTCACTGATGATGGCTATCAGGATAGACTCTCTGTTTGGGGGTCATCACATTCCTAAGGAACTCAAAAGAACAAAGTTATCACCTTACTGCAGCTGGGAGGTACATGCACAAGCAGGGGTCGTAAAATCTACGGAGCAATTAGATCTTCTGGAGGGTGCATATCCAGCTGGTTAGTATGTCAGAGGTCATTCAAAGTTACAATAGGGTTTTTCTCTTCTACAGTATGGCTTCCCTTGTCTCAACCTTGTCTTGAGTCGGTATCCATATTTCAAAAATAAAGGAGAAATAAGGAGTTTCTGAGACAAAAACTGAAGGAATTTGTCATTAGTACACCTACTTGGAATAAAACATTGTAAAATTCAGAAAGAACGTAAATAATAAAGAGGAATATTAGAAATGGAATAAATAAGTGTAAATATCTTTATTTCTTATCATAGTTAATATCACAGATTATAATTTGTTGAAAGTAATATTAGCAATGATGTATTTGGTAATGATAAGTTTATAGACAAGTAAAATAAATGACAACAATGTGACAAGGGACAGGGAAGGGGAAAAATTAGGAATAGTGTGTTGAGGTACCTGCACACAGTGAAGCAGTAGAGCGTTACTTGACAGAGGAGGTGGGTTAGTTGTAAACGTGGATTGAAAACTCAAAGGTAACCACTCAAAGAGTGTCATAAAAAGTGTGTAATTGATGTGCTAAGAGAGGAGAAAAAAAGTCAGATAAAATACTCAGTTAAAGCCAGAAAAACATGGAAGATAAAGAGAAACAAACAACAAGGGTAAAAATCATAAACTGTAAAAGGTTTGGTAAATATTAATCCAGCTGTATCAATAACCACTTTAATCATCAATGGCCTCAATACAACTGAGAGGTACAGTAATATCAGATTTTTAAAATCACATTTAATTATTTGTTGTCGATTAAAAAGCCACTTTAAACATAAAGCCACAGATAAAAGGTGAAGGGATGAGAAAATCATACCATACCAACACTAATCAAAAGAAAGCTGCCATAAGTATATGAATTATAGGCAATGTAGATTTCAAACCAAGGAAAACTCAGAGATAAAGAGAGGCATTACATAATGATAAAGGGGTCCATTCTCCAAGAATGCATTGCCATCCTTCATTTGTGTGTGCATAACAACAGAGCGGCAAAATATATAAGGCAAGAGCTGATAGAATGCAAGGAGAAATCAATGAATCCATTACTAGAGCTATAGATGTCAACATCCCCTTACCATGAACTATAAATTTTGGTAGGCAAAAAATCAGAAAAGAAAGTTGAACTGAACAGCACTAAAGAAGCAATGGATTTCATTGTAATCTATGGACTACTTCATGCAATAATAGCAGAATACATGTTCTTCTCAATTTCACATGGAACATTCAACAAGACAAAACACATTCTGGGACATAAAACACACCTTAACAAATTTGAAAGAAGAGAAATCATACAAAATATCCTCTTAGACCACACAGACATTAATCTAGAAATCAATAACAGCAAGATAGTTGGAAAAGGCCTAAATATGTGGAGATTCAACACACTTTTAAGTAATACATAGGATCAAAGAAATCTCAAAAGAAATTTTGAACTAAATGAATTTTAAAAACCAATATATCAAAGAACGAGGTGTGCAGCAAAAGCAGTACTTATGGGAAAATTTATGCCATTGAACAAATACACTGGAAGAAAAGAAAGATCTATAATCAATAAGGTAAGCATCTACCTTAGAAAACAGTACAAAGAAGAGCAAATTAAACCCAAAGTAAGAACAACAAAAGAAATAATAAAAATTAGAAAAGAAATTAATATAATTGTGGGAAACTAATGGAGAAAAATTTTTTAAAAAGCTGGTTCTTTGATAAAACTAATAAAATTGATAAACATCTAGTTAAGATAACTAAGAAAAGAGGAAAGACCAAAATCACTAATATCAGAAATGAAAGGAGGGGGAAATTGAATATATAAGAGGATTTGAAAAAATCCAACATCCATTTATGATAATAAACTGGTAATAGAGGGGAACTTCCACTTCTTGAGAAAGAACAGCCTCACAAAACCTGTAGCTAAATTCATAAGGTTTGTTCCCTATGAAATGATCGTCTCTGTGAGACACCTGAAATAATTCACAACAGCAGAAGTAACTCCTGGAATTAATAAGAAAGTATAGCAAAGTTGAAGGGTACAGAAGTCAACTACTTTCCTACAGACCTACACAAATACACTCAGTTGATCTTTGCAAAGGAGGAAAGGCAATTCAAATGAAAAAGAAAGTCTTTTAAACAAACAGTGTTGGAAATAATGGATATCCACATATGAACACACACACAAAAAATGAATGCAGACACAGGTCTTACATATTTCACAAAAATTAACTCAAAACACATCATAGATCTAAATGTGAAAGGCAAAAGGAATAAATTCCTACAAGATAAAATAGGAGAAAATCTAGATGACCCTCGGTTTAGTGATGAATTTTTAGATAGGGACGTAAAGTCCCTAAGAGAAAAAAATGATAATTTCACTTCATTCAAATAAAAAACTGCTTTGCCAAAGATAGTGTTAAGACAATGAAAAGACAAGTCACGGAGTAGGAGAAAATCTTTGCAAAACATGTATCTGATAAATGACTGGTATCCAAAATATCCAAAGAACTCTTAAGTCTCAACAGTCAGAAGAAAAACAACCCAATTAAAAATTGGCAAAAGATTTCAACAAACAGTTCACCAAAGAAGATAGACAGCTGGGAA